CCCCAAAACCCCAAAACCCCAAAACCCCAAAACCCCAAATTTTAATAAAATTATAGAATCCCGACAATATGCTACACTTGATGCCTCCTTCGATCCGGAATGCTCATGACATCCCGAACGACATTATCTTCCATATCAGTGAAGACCTGTACGATTCTCCGAACGGGAGAATCGTACTGCTTCAGGAGAGTACGAAGAACATAAAGTTCACTCAGGGTAGGACTTTCCAGTCCTACATTAATGAATTTTGAGGAGTCGTAGGCCTCTCTTCATCGATGCTCAAGTTCATGATCGATACGAACAAGAGAGTGCCTGATCCTAGACAGAAGGTGAGGTCTTCGTGCGTACTAATCGTCAATCATTCCAATAATTTTAATAAGTTGCCTAATAAGTCTCTCAAACCAGCATTGAAGCAATTGCTGAATGAAGGTAAGCTAGCAGAGCAATTAATAGGATCATTCTCTGATGTCATCGTTCATGTTAATGGGGAAGAGCTGCCAGTCCATAAGTGCATCATGTGCACACAATCCAGAATCTTTTCTAATGTGGTACGTCTGTTGGTAACATATTTTAGCTAGCAACTCCTGATATTAAAAAGACCAAGAGTGAAAATAATATCGGCCAGGTACTTAATACAGATTTGATAGTACGAATCTCAGATCATTTTTTAATGACTACAGTAAATTTATGCCCTGAAATCTATGAGATTTATCGTCCAAAATAACTTTGTGGGCTAGTTTAACCTAATGTATAGACTTCAGAAGAAGAGAGAAAACTAGTTCCTATTCTAGACAAACAATATAGTTCTAGAAAAAGGCTGATGGATTTTGTACCTGAATGAATTCATATTGTGAGTGAAGAATACGATGACGAAAAGATCCATCTTAAAATTATCGGCCATGAGATTTATATGATAAAACTTTTGTTAGAATGGATATATTCTGGAGATATCATTCTTCCAACTACCATGAATGAAGTTATTAAGTTATCAGAGTTATCAGAAATTTTTATGATTGATGATCTGACGAATAGATGTCAAGAAGACATTATTAATCATGTGAATGTTGACAATGTAGTAGAAATCCTATGCAATAATTCAGTTCCTAATGAAGACCACTCAAATTATTTGTTGTCACCAATAATCTTAAAGCATTGTAAATCATTCTTCTTAAAAGAATTCCAGGAGATCCTTCTCCACGATAAAGATGTTGAGATGAAAATATGCAAAATTCCTGGCTTAGTGACTTCTCTCTTGACTCATAAGACAGAGTCAAAATCCAGCAGCAAGAAAGAGCGGAAAGTAACCTTCTCTCTCTCCCAAAATGAAATCCACTCAACCCCAATGGTTGTCGACAGATACAACGATGGCTTAAGCAGTATTAGCGGTAGTAGTTACGACAGGAGTAATTTAACAAGGGACTAGACTTATAATTTCTTCTTAATATTCCATATAATTTCAAATATTTAGACTCTAAAAGGGGTTTTGGGGTTTTGGGGTTTTGGGGTTTTGGGG